AATTTTGTTTTGTTTTTAGATTAAATTGTCCATTACCAAAACTGTTCACCTTATGTCTAGATTTGGACTTTGATGGTAAGGGAGTATTTAGGCTTATTTTTATACATCTGACATTTTCAAATATGTTGGCTATTCACTAGATAGACTTTGGTTAAGAACTTTTCTGAAGATTGAATGTTTGTTCCATTTCTAAATATTCCTATTTAAAAAGTAATTTTAGAGTAAAGAAGGCTGATGCTGAAATTGGAAATAATGTGAGGCCTTCAATCACCCATTGTAATGGTGCATATTATTGACGACCAATAGGGAGGAGGGGTCACTCGACCCACCCTGCAGTGGTTTTTTAAATCTTACTTGCAGCTTCACAGGAAGCACACGGCACCAGATTATGAGTTTGGAAGACTAGCGTCACCACCTCCTAATGGACATTAATTTAGTTAGTAATTAACTGACATTTAGAGATGTTAAAAAGTAAAAACATACCTATCATAAGTGATAATTTCTGAATTTAGCTACAAACCATTGATGAAATGACTTCTGTTTTTAGAATCCTTGATAAAGGAAGGAGTGATTGTTACATATTCGGACACCCAAGGTTCCACGCACTGTTAAAGAGGTTAACATTGTTTTTAAGTGGACCAGATTTGAAGATAAATGAATATGAGTTATGAAATACATAGCAGAGCTTTACAGATCCTAGTAATGGTTTGACTCAAGATAATAATTATGTGCACAAGTTTCTGAAATAGATCTATTAGACATTTTAATATGGATTAGGTGTTGATAAACTGCAGTAGTAGTACAATAAGGAAGTGACATTTTTTGGCTAACACTTTTCAGGGAATGTGGGAAACAGCTGTCCCAATGAAAAGTTAGAGATATCTTGAACATTATAGTTGTAATTGTGAATTAATAAATGATGGCGCTCCATATATACATATTTTTGTAGACAAAGGATACTGGCCTATGCTGAAATGTCAAAGTCTCTGCAGAAAACGACACATGGCCAAAAAAGACTGAGACCAACTGACCTTTGACCCTGACCGACAGTGTAACTTGACAAGGCACTGTGAATGACTGACTCTGGGGTGAACCTGACCAAACTTGACTTTACAACCTGACAGTGTGAGTGTGAATGTGAGTGTATGTCTGCATGTGATCAGTGCAACTGCATGATTTAAAACAATGACTAATCAAGCCTGTTTTTGGACTAACACATTTTTTCTGGGGCTCAATAAAATTCCACAGAATTGGAAAACCGCACTTGTGCACTCCCACAGGAGGTGGCAGTTTGCAGAATGTGAAACTCAAACTAAAACATGAAGATTCTGTTTCTTTTAGGACTGAAGGATGGAGAGAAACACTTCATTTCACTGAAGTGTTTACTGTGGAAATGATGGATGTACATTTGGGAAAAAATGTTTGGTATTTTCTTATAATCCATTATTACCGGAAGGTTTTCTTCCCATACAGGATTTTGGTTATACAAGAGTCATGTGTAAAAAAAAAGGGGGAGTGTCTGACCATTGATTGACAGTTTTAGAATTGACCTGCTCCATATCTGGGGATAAGATACTGTTTGGTGAATGTTGACATGTCTCTAATATTGATTGAGTTATAACAGGTAACACAGATGCAGAATCAGTGGCCAAAGGGCTACTGTGAGAGATGTAAGTCCAGAATGGAATACTGAAGAAGTTGACCTGTGAGTAATGTTTCAACAGGTATTAAAGTAACTGAGGTTTGAAATGTAGAAAGAACATATTACAGTTAAAGCTAAAACATAGTAATGTAATGAGACATAATTTAATTTAGACAACATCATGTAACTAGCCTGGTAAAGGAGTAAAAGCCATAGACTTTATTGTTTAGGTCATTATGGGGATATACATTCCATCTAAATTCATAATAGAAAGACATTTGATGACAGTTTGTTGGAATTCTGTATTCATTTTTTCAGCTTGATAATATCTAAGCACTGACAGGTAGAAGCAGTATCACCAGGAAATCATTCACTTTGTTAGTATCGTGATTTTGGTTGTTTTTGAATCCATAACATTAGTGTGTTTCTTTACCAGAAACATTAGCAGTTCATATTATATTTAGATTTTAAATAGGATCTCAAGGATTTCATTTAAACATAAACACAGATGCTTGTCAGAAATTCAGAGCTATTGAAATATGTTATTTAGTTTACCTAAAGATGTTGGGGTTCTTATTTAGTTGGCACAGTCCAAGTATTAAGATTCTGAAGCTGCACTGGCAGATAGGAGGTCTACAATTAATTTAGAAAACCTGTTCACAGACGGCTGTTGTTTCAAGACACCCCACCAACAGGCTCCAAGTGGGTCAAAACAGCTGAGCGTAGGCTTGAGGGATTTGTATCAGATTTCTCCACACAGGTTGCTGGCGCCAAAAGGGGGACCCGAGAAGCACGAGGCCGACACAGCAGAGTTCGTCTGGCTGAAGGTCATCAGGACAAAGTGGCTCAACCCCAGGCTCTCCGGCCCCGACTGAGTGACCCAGCGGACCTCTCATGCCGTCTGCCTAGGAGAAAAGGGGGACAGCTCGTACCACGGGAGCCAGTGTGCGGCGGGGAAACCACCTGCTAGGACCAGGGGACGACATCAGGACGGACCTGGCCCTCGTCAAGGCAGTCGACCCGGGAGGCATCATCAGCGGGCCGGAGAAGGAGAATCGGGAAGACATCTCTCCAGCATCGACCCGGAAGCCGCCATCAGCGGGCCGGAGGAGGAGGAGGAGGAAGACATCTCTCTAGCAGGCAGCCCAGAAGCTGCCGTCAGCGGATCGGGGGGACAAAGACACGGCAAGCCAGGACGGCACAGGGGACTTGTCGAGGCAGCAGAGGAGTCTACTTCTCTGATCAGTTCCACCTGTGAAGGGAAAGCCGCATCTCCCCCTCCCTATCAGCTGCCCCTTGTTGGCGTATTCCTCTGAGGGGGGGGGGGGCTGATGATTCACCACACAAGGAGACTGCACTAGCACCCAGCTGCCCCCTCATGGTTCCTTCACTGCCATGGAAAGTGGTGTTCTGTCTCCATGAAGGTTTCAAGTACTCTAAATACCAGCTTCGGATGGATTTATACAATGTTTGGGGGACGGACACAGTAGAAAAGAATGACAGTGGGTATATGTTTCAAGTGCCTTGTGTAAATTGCACTCTTTTAAAAGAGTGCAAAAGGGGGAATTGCGGACGTTTATGAAGAGTATTATGCAGAAGATGTGATGCAGCATATTTTTGGTATATTCATTTTAATCTCACCAATATATAAGAGGTGTATTGCATCATGTTATCCCTAAATATATGTGCGGGTATATACATTCCTGTGTATTAATAGTTGAAGGAACAAAATACATTTTTCCTCTTAAATATAGAGAGGTTTTTTATAGATTCCTGAAACAATGTTCCCTTTTTCTTTAAAGTAGATTAGCGCAATAGTCTTTTTCTCTCACTTTTACCCTTTTCATCAAAAGGGTGCTTTAGGCTATTTTTGAGGGGTAAAATGCAGAATTACTTGTGAGTTCTGTTTTGAGTGAAAAGATTACCCTTTTGAGTGTTTTTCTTGGTTAACCATTAGATATAGTGGCTAAATTCGTTCTAAGTTAATTATGCGCATCCTGCAGGCCTTGAGAATTTAGTCACACAGTTAAGAGAGACAATGGTCCTTTTAGACTAAGGGTGAGCTTACTTCGGGTGAATAAAAGTTCAGAGATGATTGGGGGGGGTATGAAGACAGTTAGGCTTGTTGGTGAGCTAGTTCTGAGGATGTCATGGGATAATGACTGTTATATTCCCAACAAGTATGGCTTTCATAAAGAAACACATGACTTGGGTGATAAGATGTGTTTTGTTGTAAAATGGGCCTGTTTGGTTTTCTGCTGGCCAGCGCTGGGTCACTGTGACAAAGCATATTTTGCGTCTGCCAATGAGGGGACCTGAAAAGATGACCAGCTGATCTCACCCCTTCCTTCTGTCTTCTGGTATATATTCTGTCGATTCCTGAGTTCGGCCTCTCTTCACATGCTGTCAGGACAGAAGGATCTCCGCAGCAAGTGAACAGGGCAGAAGTGGGCCGGCTACTTCTTAAAACATTACAATATGATTTTAGTATATTGTATTATATGGTATTGTAATGTATTATAGTGCATTGCATTATTACCTTTGATAATTAAAACAGATTGTTTAAACTGGTATCTGGGTGTTCTCTGTCTGATTTTCTTCCTGTTATGATTTTAAGCAGGACTCGTCAAAACGACACGCGGAGCCGAGTGGGGTTGTAAAAACCTCAAAACTCCAACAAAATACTGGCTGTAATAATAGGATTACAGTGGGTTGAAGAGGTCAGACCAGATAGGGTGGTGATATGCACAGATTCATTATCCATTTTAAAAAGTATACAGTCAACAACAACTGTCAGAGAAGAATTACTCATATAACTTAATCTAGGAAATCATGATAGCTAGACTCAGACTGGATCACACAGCATTGAATGTTACTCTATGTCGTAGGAACTGTGGAGTTAAAAAAAATGTGGAACACATCATATTACACTGCAACATGTACAAAACAGAGAGGGAACAACTAAGAGACAGGGAGAGTGGAGCCTGATGGGGATACTGGGAACAGAAGGTGAGGGGGTAAGAGCTACCAGGAAGGCCATTCTTAAGTATTTGAGTGAAAAAGGATTGATTGGAAGAATTGAAAACAACGTAAACACAGTGGTATAATTCCACAAGTGCTGACAGGATGATATGTTGATACACGCTCTTGTACAGTAGGGGGCGGTATGCACCTTAAAGTTGTTTGCAATCCGCCAAAAAACCGAGAGAAGAAGAAGAAGAACGATTATACATCCATGGAAGGACCAGACACATGGCAGCAACGTTCCCATCTGCTTCATTCATTTCTCCTGTTCAACAGGTTAGTAGTGTGGACACAGATTATGTCATATTTCGATCAAAGAAGTGTCTTTGAAACTGTTTTATGTGTAGTTTAATGTCATTCTGTGAGCTACGCCACTAGCGTGTGGCTAATGGCGTCCGCTAGCTTCTTTAGCGCAGGCTGTTGTCCCTGAATAATGTAGGGCTCTACCATGTTACCATGTGTATGACTCCCTTGCACTAGTTTGGCTTACATTTCAAGTTTATTCTGTTTGTATAAATATGTGAAATGCTGGTCTGAGGTCATAATTGTTCATATTATTTAAATGCTAAAGCGCTAATGCTATGCTAATAGTGTGCCTGTACAACATAGCAATGTTAAAGTGAGTACAGTCGACCGGGTTGTGTGTGTGTTATCTGTAATCACTGTATTATATACTGTAAATGAAAAAGGCTTTAATCCTTCATCAAAGTCATAATATGGCATGTGGATTTATGTCCATTTTTTATTAGAGACACATATGTCATACGGTTATTTTGATTTGCTAAATGTATGTTTACATTCTCAGTTAGCTTCAGGCCTCACTGAGGCGAAGTATTGAGGTAGAAAGCTGGTGAAGCCATTTCCTGCTGTCATTATATTCTGTTTGCACAGATAATAAACCTGGTTGACAAGAAGGAAGTCGTTTTCATTCGACACAACGCAGAGATACATGTGGCGTCAATCCAGACCGGTTACACAAAGAATGATAAATAGAGAAAACAGATATAATTTGTAAGTGAATTTATTAATTTGTTTAATACATTCTGGCTAGAACGACCACACAAACGGCAGCAACTTTCCCTCTGCTTCATTCTTTTCTCCTGATCAACAGGCTTATTATCTGATTACCAGCTCTGCACAGCGGACTTGTAACACTAGCAGCAGTGGAGATGGAGCATCAGAACCTGGAGGCTTCTACTCTCCTGAAGAAGAAGAATACAGCAACAAGGATCCATTTGAAGATAGGTAAATGTAAATATTACAGTAATAGTGTACTTGCATTGTGTGGGTGTAAGGGTGTAACTTTGGTTTGCGAAGTGGGGGGGACACAAAACAGGGGGCAATGAAACATTTTCTCAATTTAATTCCATTTCCTGCCTTTCTACAAATATATTAGGGACTATAGTGTTAATAAATCCAAGAAAAATGTGTAGTGTATATAATGAGTGTGCACACTTATCTAGTATCCTATCCATGTGAACCTGTTTTATTTGTGATGACCTCACATCCTCTAGGGGGGTACTAGTATATATTTCAATCATCAAAAATCCTGCTTGCTCACAAGCAATAACACATATTTGATCAACTCCTCTCTCCTATCTTTATCTTACCTAGTCTGCATTCTTTCTTTTTATTTATGCATATTTTACTAATCACTCCCCTTTCAAATTGTGTTTTTTATTTTGTACTGACCTATTGCACACAGTGGAATGATTTATTAACTCATTTTATATACAACTAATATTACATAGATGGAAATGATGACCAAACCTCCCTGAGCTGACGTTATCTCTCTCAGTCCCACAGGAGAGAGCTCTCCCTCTCCTTATTGTTGAAACGGCTTCTAATCTCCGTTAGCTCCGAGCTAGCACCAAATACTAACAACGTCTCTCTTTCTATCTCTCACACGCCGCCTCCTCCTCCTCCTCCTCCTCCTCCTCCTCCTCCTCCTCCTCCTCCTCCTCCTCCTCCTCCTCCTCCAGAGAGAGAGAGATAATTTTATTTTGAGTTGTGCATTGTTATTTGTGCTTGAGAAACATTCCACTTGAACTTTATTTTAACAAATTTAGAAGTAATTATTGTCCTATATATTTTTTCAGATTTCACAGCTGCCTGGGCCTAGCAGCAAGAACCTCCACCTGTCCCTGCCCCCAGGTCAAGATCTACCGTGGCTCAAGGGCCTTCACCGCAAAGGACCAGAGGACCATCATCACTACAGTGGCCTCCATCTCCATCTGCCACAAGATTAAGATACATCTCGGGACAAAGGCCTCCACCACAGCCATCACGATCAACCCAGCCAGCAAAGAAGTCTCGCCTAGCACCGCCTCGGTGAGACTCCAGAAAGCATGGAGCAAGAGACAATTTCCCTTTTGGCTGAACAACAGAAAAGAAACAACCGGCAATCAATAAAAGAAAAAGATGGCGAAGGCGTTTGGATACCGAAGACAAGAAATAGTGCAGCGGAGGCCAAGCATTGAAGGCCTCTTGGAGCGGTGGCCTGCACTTTTTCACATGGAAGAGGTAATTATTTTGATGAAACCCTTGTTTGTAAGCCTGTAGTGGAGAAGAATTGAGGGCCCAACTTACTAACAACTATAGACAGCCGAGGCAAATATGTTGACGTTTATTTTTTAATATATATCACAATATAAGCTTTACATCTATTACTCTTAGTGTCTTTATTTGGTGGTGGTTTTCAATAAATATGTGGATTAATTAATTTAAATGTTACATTCATACAAGCTGACTTGGAGTACTTTTAATCAAACCATTGGCTCTTTATAAAAAACATGTGTATTATAAATTCTCAGTATTTTTTGTTTTCTATGCTGCTTATATTTTCTAGGTAAATGCTGAGTTAATGCGCATAACAACATTTCCATTGGAGACAAAGTTCTTGGCGCAGTTGGACAAACACTCTACCAAACTACTGCAGGTCATCAGGAGCAGGGGAGGAGTTGTGAAACAGAAGACCACCGGGATCTTGCAGGTTTTGGATGAGGTATCTATGAATGAGTTTTTTATCTGTGGGATCAGTGGCTGAATCCTCCTTTATTTGCATTTGATTTATTATATATATATATATTAGGGCCGGGACTCGATTTAAAAAAATTAATCTAATTAATTAGAGGCTTTGTAATTAATTAATCGAAATTAATCGCATATAAATATTTGACCTAAGAACAGTGAGAAGCAATTTTTTTCACATGGATTTTAGTATACCATTAGGCGCATTCACACCGCAGTACTTTTCCCACAAAGGTTCATGAGAACTTAGTTCATGAGAACTCTTTGAACCTGGGGGTGGATTAGGCAAATGAAGCCGCTGACGTCACTTCTTCTTCTTCTGCTTTGGGTTTACTGGCAGGCCGCAAACCACTTCACGGCGTATACTGCCGCACAAAGTCCCCGGCCGGAAGTCCCCGGAGTTGGGGACTGGCTTCAGTAGAAGCTGCTGGGAGTCCCAGCAGCTTCTACTGAAGCCTTCCGAGTAAATCGCCAGAACGCCGACACCTCCTCATCTCCACCGCTCCCATGTTTTATTTTGTGTTGCCATAAGTTATTCTCTCTCCGTTGGTGCGCGGGGCTAATGCTAATAATGCTAATGCGAGGATAATAAAATGGCGGCTTCACAAAACTTTTTTGGGAGTTTTACGGGGCGTGGTTTGCAATCCGCCCAGCCAATCAGAAATATAGCTCTTTTCTCACAAGAGAGCCGTACGAAAGTCCCTGCTCTCTAGCAGCTCTCTGCTCTCTAGCAGGGACTTTCGTGGGGGTAAAAAGGTTCTCATTAACTAATTTTAGTACCGGCTCTTTTTGGTGTGAACGCGATAAAAGAGGCTAACGTCCACGCTAGCTTCCACGCTAGCTGCTATATGTTTTGCATTGAGGTGATACTTGAGGCTTGATGTGCTGCGGTGATATGCAAATTCCTTTTTGCATAATTTGCACACAACCGTGCTCTTATCGACGCTTCCATCCGTCCGTTTTTTAAAACAACATTTCCCACTGTTGTTCACTGTGGTTTGTTGTTGTCTGAAGTCATGAACGTTAGTTGGTGCTCCAGTATAATCGGTACGCCTGAAACTCATCCAGTGAGAAACGCTCCGCGGTGCAAAAATAAGTGCGATTAAAATGCGTTAATTTTTTTAACGCGTTAATTTTTGTGTAATTAATTAATCTTAATTAACGCGTTAAAGTCCCGGCCCTAATATATATATATCTCTGTTCTTACTCAGACTGTGGACATCGCCATCAGAAGAGAATGCATCCTCAAATCTCTAATGATCTACCTGGGTGAACCTGTTGACCATCTCATCAAAGAATTCCAGGTAAGACCTCCCACTCACTCACAAGAAGTTTGTTCATAAAAGAAAACATATTTGTACTGCATGCAAATAACTGCTTGGTTAGAAAGATAGTCATTTGTGATGACCTCCTGAGCTTTCCTCTTGGGCCGACTGAACTGACGCCTCAGGCCTGTTGAACTACGCTCTGTGGTCCTCATCCATTCCCCTTTCTTTCTTTTTTGCATGATATGCAGGACGCTGAGGCTGGAGAACTGGAGCAGGCAACAATGGAAGCCTTTGACACTGGGAAAGAGGATCAGTTTCATCGACCCAAAGACGTCAAGGTTCTCATCGAAGGAACAGAGGTCCTCAGCGGCTTGCCCTCGGTTGCGACAGCTTTTGCCATGCTCTTCGGGCTCATATACGCACTGAAATGGGGCGAAGCCTGCGAGCTAGTTCAGGCAGTCAACTCGAGCACTTATGCTGCATTCATACATAACGCCCCCTTGCCACTCTACAACCAACCAAACAGAGTCTCCTTAATATGCCGCTCTATTTAACCTGCCATATCTCTCTCCATGCATTGCTTGCTGCTGCTATTGCTGCAGCTACCTCTACGTCGCTGCTGCTTGCCTGCCCCACCACCACCCCAGCTTCCACCTGTAGGCTCGGGGGTTAGTTATTTGATCATCACTCATCGTGCTATGTATATCTATGGAGTGATGATGCCCGAGCCTAGTCGCCAACTCAACTATATGCTGCTTCTAATAAACATGTTAAAGGAACACGTGAGTTGTCTGACTGAACTTAAGATATCAGAAATAACTGCAATCCACTTTTGAAGTTGTGCAAAAAGTCCTGATGGAGGGGAAAAAGATGAGCCCAAAAGTGAATAGACTGAGAACCCAGCTGGTAGACACTTTGTTGCACTCACTCACAGTTACCATTGTTACATGGTAAGGTTTCTAAAACCAAGGTTTTATAATAATTATGCATTGTAAAACATTTGCGAAAAAGTGTTGTGTTCAGAAGTTGCACTTACAGTATGACCGATTTTCACTGTAGAAGTATGCATGTCTAATCATTCTCAGAGATTACATGTCTCACAGGCGCACGTTTGTCAGTGTTGCTTTAAAAAAGTGTGCAGTGGATAATAAGGACAAGTCTTTTTTTCTAAGAGTTTGATGTTTGGAAGCGGCCCACATATTACCGCATTTTAACTGTGGTACTTATTAACATGTCTAGATCAGGTAATGGCTGCCTCAGAGGCCAAAGCTGGTTGTGTGAACAACTTGTTTTTCATTCAAATAAATGTGCTCTGGTGTTAAATATACAGATTGATCTGAAGAAAATTGAGTCAATGTAAATATTTCGTGTGATTGATTACTCTAATATTTTTTTGTTGGTACAACGTTTTACTTTTATTAGTGTACCTTTCAGTTGCATTGCACTCCTTAAACGTGTTTGAGACACTTTAGATAACAATGTGGCTGTCATTTGATTAACTCTGAAAATACAGAGGTTTTTATTGAATAAATCACCCCAAAAATCACATGAATTGAGTTACAGGTGTCCCCTCAGCTGTGCAGACTTATTTAATAATATGGTAGGAAATTGTGGAGTAAAGTTAATATCTATCTTGTACACACACACTTTTCCTCTACTGATTATATTACTGGATGGAAACTGAAAGCACGGGAACATTAATAAACTACACAACAGAAAGTATGAATAACATTAATGAAATTGTGACTGTAGATATGTTTATACTTTATATTAGTTACTGTAAATGTTTAATTTAGATTTAATTATTGTGATTATTCTTTCTATCTAAATCTCACAATGGGGTAGGTTACAGGAACTTTTCATCAACAGATTGCTTTAGTCTGGCTTAACTCTTCACTGATTGGTTGCACACACTTTAAATGTACTGGCTATGCAAAACAGAAGGTGGGGCTCATTATCATATTAAAAAAACGCGCGTTTATTTGATAAAAAAACGCGCGTTTTTGACGCATATAAAACGCGCGGTTTTTTATCAAATAAACGCGCGAAAAACGCGCGTTTTAAACGGGCGAATAGTGGCACTTTAGGCTTTCCATACTCCGACATAACTGCACCCCTATCAGACGAGACATATACCACGTGATGACAAGTTAGGCTCGTGTTGTGTTCAAGGACCCTGACCATGGCCAGGAAAAACAGGTACTCGCTTGTTTAATTTTTTTGTGGTCTAGATTTCTTTAATTTTTTGCCTGTGTTTATAAATTACCTCGAGGGCCGTACCAAATTATCTCGCGGGCCGTATACGGCCCGGGGGCCGCAGGTTCCCCACCCCTGCTCTAATATTTTACCTCAAATAACGTCTCCTTCGGGCTCTCGCCTATGGCGTTATTTTTGTGCCTCTATCCTGAGCACGCAATGAAACATTTTGAGTATAGGAAATGTTATTGAGCGCGCAATTTAATTGTAATATATTTTGGAAGCACAATTGACTCTAAGCCTTCTCACAAACTCCTGTTCCATGCGCAAGCAGACGCTGCACGCACTCTCTCCCTCGCTCAACCTCTCCACCCTGTGCACGCTCAGGTTTGCCTGTGCGCTCGTTCAAGTTGGCACAGGGTTACAAATGTGCCACAAAACCAACCAATCGGAGAACTCAAGGAGGTCCATTCTGACTGGCTTATTTAGTGGGAAGGCTGACACAGCATTGCAACTATCTGTTATGCTACGCACAAAATTCTTTATAATTCCGCCGGGTTATTTTGCGCCACTTCTCCTCCCACATTGAACATCGCAAAAACTCTGTTCAAACATCAAAACGTTCAGCTCGGTCGGGAATCGATGGCTATTACTTTTATCATTCATAACTTTCATAATTCCAGAGATACATCCCATAATACATCACATTTTTAACATGGAAGTCAATGGAGAAACTCTTCCGACTTCAACAATCTTCATGGAACTTCAACTGCTAACTGCTCCTTCTTCAACTGCTCCTTCATACTTTCACTCAGAAACCTCATTCCAACTTTAAAATGTTACACATCTTTCTGACATTATTCGTGTAACACAACCTTTAAATCTGATACTTACTTTTCGAGATATTAAACATTATTCAGACCTTGGTAAAGAGGCCTTCTTCAGATTTTAGAGTGCGTGATGTCACAGCTATAGTGAGGACAGATTTAATTTTGCCTTCATATTTTCTTTTAAACCTGCCATGATTCCCAAACCCTACATTCCTGAGACATAATTTTTCATGACAAACGTAGGAAAACATCTCGTAGCTTGAAAGATAAAAAAAATTAAGCTAAATAATTAAACAAAATGCCTCTTGAGGGCATGAAGTGACAAAAACTTTCAACATTTCTCCATTAAAACCCATTGTAAGTTCAGCCTCACCTTTCTCCACCACAGCAGCCGCATACTTTTAGTTAATCTGCCAAAAAGGCCACATTATTAACCCGAAAGTACACAAAAAGTACACTTCAGATGCTCAAGTTCCTTGACATGCTTCACGTTTTGAAATTTCACAAATATCTGTTACGGTTCTTCAACAAAACGTTCACATGTAACAGGTTTATCTCTCATTCAGAACAATGAAAATGCTCTCCTCTAACTGATCACCATGGAAACCTTTGATCTCTGGACACGTTGTTAGCTCAAATATAAACACCTGTGTCATGGAAGACGATAATGTCATAACTCCAACTGACATGCTCAGAGCAGCACACTTCAGATAATGGTTAATGGTCCTGCCCTCAACAGCTCTACATCAATTATGGGGTGTCATCATATGCCGTTTCCATGGAAACGCATCCCTCGCCATAAAACACGATGTCGCTGTAACTCCAATGGACACGGTCCGATCGTCCCCCAAACTTTGCTTGTATATCACCGGTCCATGCCTCAACAGCTTTACGCCAAATCTGAGATCTCACCATAGGCTGTTGCCATGGAAACGCATCCCTCGCCATAAAACACGATGTTGTGTAATGGACACGGCCCGGTCGTCCCACAATCTTCACCTGTATATCACCTCTCCATGCCTCGACAGCTCTACGTCAAATCTGACATCTCACCATATGCCGTTTCCATGAAAACGCATCCCTCGCCATAAAACACGATGTTGTCGTAACGCCTATCAAAAGGGTCAAAACAGCACCACACTTCAGATAATGGTTAACGGTCCAACCCTCAACAGCTCTACGTCAATTATGGGGTTTCATCATATGCCGTTTCCATGGAAACCTATCCCTCGCCATAAAACACGATGTCGCTATAACTCCTATGAAAATGTTCAAAAAGTGCTCAAACTTCACAGGTCTGGTAACGATGCAGCCATCAACAAATCTAAGCGTATTATGGGATGTCATCAAATGCCGTTGGCATGGCAACAGATCATTCACCATCAAGTTAGTTCAAAAGTTTGCAGTTCAAATATTCTGCTGCTTTTCCAAGCCTTTTTACTTTATTTTATTTTCTTCTCTCGTCACACATTCAAGCCCCCGGTGTTCATGTATTATTTCAATCTAAATTCTTCACTTTCTTCTTACACATTACATTTCAGCATAGCAGTTTAGCATCAGCTTTTCAGCATAAAGCATTCCCACTAGCAATTTCTTCAGGAATTGCATTCTCTAGTTTCAGTTAACATGCGTTTTAGGACATTTTAAGTATGTGTGGTCTTGAACGGGCTGGGCCCACCCACTCTTTGATATCTGCCTACGCCACTGCGACAGACATGAAAGATAGTTTCTTTCAATGTTCACCAATGCCAATATCAAACACAGTTTATTGCATTTTTATAAACTTGCTGTCATTTGAAGCAAAATTATGTCTAAATCTGGCCATCTGGCAATTAGATTTGTATATCTCTTCATCTGATTCTAGTGTTGTTGAAGGATCTGGATCCATCTATTAGACAAGCTGTTTAATAATTGACTGTCCATCATAGTTGTAGTTTAATAAACTATAAGTGTTTATTATCACTGGCCCCACCATTGTAACCACTGGCCCAAGAGCATTCCTCCAAAAAAAATCGACTAATAACGAAGAAAAACACATTTGTTGCAATAGTAATTTATGCACAAACTACATTACCTTTTCTAGTTCTTTTTTTTTTCCTATTACCTATTTTGTGTATATGATATATCATATACACAACTATGGTGTAGTTATGCAATGAATGAAAAACTTTGGTCGCAGGTTCCTCAACAGTGCATTACAAGACATCTATCAATATGTGTGTATACCTCCACCATTAAACTGTCATATTCTGCATCATTCTTATACTATCTACATACATAAGAGTATAATTCATATGTATAATATCAGTTCAAATAAGTGCTGAAACATAGTTAACATTGCACTAAACCGTTTTATTGTAGAGATCACTTATAGTATCTTCTTGATTTTTTATATTCTATATTTCTATCATTGACCTTCTACTTTCCCCCTATAAAAGTATGTACTCTTAATATTTTTTTCATGTGCTTTAACCACCATCTACGAATTGGAACACATATAAAAGTCAGCCGAATTCATGTTGATACTGCAAGGTGACGTATTGTGTAAAGAGAAATTGAAGATGTTGTTTAATTGCTGATATATTTATGATCCACGTCACATATTCAGTTTTGGCGGCATTTCTTCCAGTTTGTCCAAAGGTCTTCTAATAAGGGCTCTATAAATAGAGAACTACGGCAGATGTGTAATAACTAAGTTATGCAGCCGAACCATGTATTACAATGCCATAAGGTGATGACTTTCAAAGAGAAAAGCAAGCACAATAAAGTAATAAAGTATTATTTTCTTTTTTTAATGTTTTTTGGATTTCATATCGCATAAACACAATATCCCAACGAGCATTGCGGCTAAACAATCCAATCACCGAGCTTAAACCACAGCTGAGGATCTTGGGTAATCAGTTCAGTGGTTGTGTATCTGTTTCCCGATATTTTATTTTGAAATTCAGTTCCTGACGGACACCAAAAAAGACAGAGATTATGGAATTAAACAAATAAATAAAAACAAGGATAATTGTGTGTTATTGATGAGTAAATAACAGTGTGTTATTTATAAAAGAATAACAAATTAGAAGGAAAAAAATATTTAAAAAAATACAGATTTCACTATTCTGAGGCTCTGAGCCCCATTTATTTTCCTCACTGACGGCAAAAAAAGTCTGACATCATACGATTTAAAATTAAAAACAATAATCGTGGCTTTATATTGAGTAAGAACGTGTTTTTATGAACCCCACAGCTTCTGGTCTTCCAAGACCCGACCGGACAAAAAGACGTGTTGCAGGCACAAAACAAACTACCAATAGAAATACATTGCTTTTAAAATCGTTCTGTGTGACACAAAAAAAAGGGGGAAATCGTGTTGGTGAACACGAATCAATAGATTAAATGTCGTGACTATAACACAAAATGCTGTGAGACTGGGTTGATATATAACAAGGAGACATTAGCTATCAAGGCACCTAAACATTATACAGCAACTTCACAACTCACATCATCAGTGACTTCTCTCACTCCTGAGTCTGCAACAGCATGAACATAATAAATATAAACGGCTCAAACCGGAAACAGAAACAACCTGCATTACAAAATAAGAGCCCATTTCAAAATATTACTGCTGAACATGAGGAATTATTAACAATAAGAAAGGAAAATGGTTATAATAAATAATGCTTATGAATGTTTAATAATCAGTTAAGGCTTTATTTATTGTTTTTATTTTCTACAGAGAAGCAGCTAGAGAAGTTTTTGGAGGAACTGGGGTTGGATCGACACTACAAAGAGAAGGTGTCCCTAAGCACACTTCTGAGGATTGACGAGAAGACCATTACCGATGAACCTGCAAACTGTAATCCAGATCTTCCATGGAATTTTCTGAAGAAACTAATGATGGTTAATGTGACAGATAGGAATGTGAAATGTACACCTGCACACGAGTCAAACGGTGAGGATCACACAGAAGACCTTGATGATTTAGATTAAAGTACACATTCAGGAGACACACTGAATCCCCTTGACATTGTCACTGCTCTCTTTCTGTGCTCTGATGGTTTTGTTCAGCAGGAAATGGCCCTCAAAATGTCCATGTGACAGTTTTCCGTGCCTCTGTTGCTTCCCAACTGTAACACAAAGCAGTGCACCCTCATGCTTTGGGCCATGAGAGACATTGTTAAAAAGTACAGACCTCAGTCACTTTCAGAATCCAAGGGATTTATTGAAGAGAGAATTGTTGTCTCTGAACTTCCAATGATATATTTTGTGAGACTGGGTGAGTGCTCCTTGTCCAAGTCAGAGATCCTCAATGAGCTTCTGAGCAGTTCTCAGCAGTATCATGACACCTTTGTTCACTCCAACATGGAGTGTGGTGACAGCCCAAGGAGAATATCCAATGGATTGGTTGAAATGACTTGGTATCTTCCTTGTGGGAACAAAAACATGGATGTCTTCAGCGAGCCAGTTGCTGTAGCTAACCTTCGTGGGGACATTGCTTCATTTGAAACACAATTGTCTTTCTTGTGTCAGACATCTGCAGCAGTTTTTGTGTTCTTTGATGCTTTGGACTCTGAGTGTGAGCTGCTGACCAACCAAAACCACAAGGCCCAAATCTTCTTGGTGGGTAACCGTCAAAGCAAAGATTTCAAATTAGATGCCGTAAAAAAGGTAGCAACTGTTAGAGATTTAAAGGGATAACTGATCCGCTTTTCAAATCTCCGCGCGTCCCTATCAAGCTGGTTATAATACAGGAAGGAATCCAGTGCCACCAAGTAAACAATAATCTACTTTAATGGTAATATGACAATGCAATACAATCAATACAGTACAAATTCAATACAAATTATCTTTGGGATCCCGAATTTACCTGCACGTGTGCCTGCCAGAGGAAAGAGACTGAACACCGCGTGTGTTTCTGTGTTTATACTTTTTAACAATGGGAGGAGTTATCCGATCCTCCCATTTGGACCTCCTTGATTGGCAGCCCCAAATATCACAGACACCTCAAATCTTAGGTTTCCCCAATCACTGTAGCTAGATCTAAGTTGAATGCAAATCAAGACATGCTCTCACCTTCCCCCATCTTCCTTTGTCCTCAAAAACACATGTCAACAGGCCCCAAATCCAGCTCACAGTTTTACCCAAATTATTCCCATTTTAAGCTTATCCATAGTTTGCTAACATGAATACATACAAATATTTCACTACACAACCAAGTTGAGCTTAACCAAGAGAAACATCATTTTGAAAGATAAGCAAATAAATGATGCAAACTTTGTAAAAAATGTGCGGGAAAAAGTCAGCAATGCATTTGAAAACACAAAGGTGAAGAGGGGAATTGAGAAGATGTCTGACATTGCCCATGAACATGGAATCTGTGTTGATGAAGAATCTCCAGAGTGCCAGACTGCGAAGGAAAATGCAGATGACATCACTGCAGAAATTCAAGACATTCATATATACAAAGAGGTTCAGCTTCCCTTGCAAGGCCAAATATGGAAGGACCTTACTTGCATGGAGAAGGAAGAATTGCGACTTCGGAAAGTTGGGTCTGAAAATATAGAAAAGTACAAAAGTGATCTTCAGCTACAGAAAACCAAACTTCGGGAAAAACAGAACTCTCATGACATGTCGAACGCAATGACATGTTTCATCAATGCAATATCAAGCCCAGGGATACAGAGGTTCTATTTCCTGAAATGGATGCGAATGAACCTCGATAACGTGTCTCGAGAAAAACTCTTTGACCTCAGGGAGCAGTACAAAGAAAAATGCAAAAACCCTGAGAACAAAGAGGAGATCAAGGAGATTGACCAACAACTTGCCAACAGCTCATTAGGGACTGAACACTTCTTCCGTGAGATGGGGCAGATCTATGAAGCTTCCCTTTTCCTTCCTGAAACAAACCCAGCACGTCAACAACTACAGCATCTCCCCAAGCTATGTGCTGAGTTAATGCTTGATGGATTTCCACTTGAGCTTGTAGATGGAGAAGCATCCAACATACCTCTCAGATGGGTGACTGACGTTCTCTCTCAGCTCAATGCCTTGGTGTCTCCTAAGAACAAGATCCTAGTCGTCACAGTTTTTGGAGTTCAGAGCACAGGAAAGTCCACTCTCCTCAACACCATGTTTGGAGTGCAGTTTGCAGTCAGCAGTGGTCGATGCACTCGAGGTGCCTTTATGTTGCTGATTAAAATCAATGAATATGTCAGAAAACACTTCAACTGTGACTTCATGGTGATCATTGACACTGAGGGCTTAAAGTCACCAGAGCTCGCACAACTGGCCAAAGCCACGAGCACGAAAATGAGCTTGCAACACTTGTTGTGGGGCTGAGTGATATCACCATCATCAATGTTTCAATGGAGAATTCAACAGAAATGAAGGACATCCTACAGATAGTTGTACACGCTTTCCTCAGGATGAAAGAGGTTAGCAAAAAGAAGCCCAAATGTCAGTTTGTTCACCAGAATGTGTCGGATGTTTCAGCCCATGACAAGAACATGCGAGACAGGAAACGAGATGACCCAGGCAGCAGCCAAAATGGAGTACTCGAGCTTCACTGATGTGATGGAGTACAGTCCAGACACTGGAAACTGGTACATTCCTGGACTCTGGAATGGAAACCCACCGATGGCAGCAGTCAATGCAGGCTACAGCGAGGCTGTTTATGAGCTCAAGAAGAACATCATCCACATTTTGAGAAGTTGTGGATCATCGGCTAATAATATCTTGGAGTTTACGGAGTGGATGAAGAGCCTGCAAACATGAAAACTTCATCTTCAGCTTCAGAAACAGTCTCGTGGCTGATGCATACATGAAGCTGTGCACAGAATTCAACAAATGGGAATGGGACTTCAAAAAAGAAATGTACACATGGGTTACACAAGCTGAAACAATAATCTCCAACTTCGATACACCTGCTGATAAATCTAACATATCTGACACAACCGAACTTCATTTGCATTTGAAAAATTTAAAAACAGTGCAAAGAGCCTTCGACGAGAAATGGAAAGCTCTGTGTTTAACCAACTCAAAGCTGCAGCCGACATCAGACAGGAGATGACAAAACTTGATAAAATCAAGGTGAACCACACAAAGGAATTAGAGGGCAGAGTAGGTGCATTGATTGACAAATGCCGAAAGGAAAAAGTCAAGATGTCAGAGGAAAAGCTGGACAAAGAATTTGACAAGATGTGGACTAAAACAGTGAAGGAACTTTCCTTTACAAAAATGAAGGTTGAGGACATTTTCACACGTGTGTCTCACCACCTGAGAACAAATCTATCAACCAAGGGAAGTCACGTAAGTCATTTGTTAAGTCAAAAAAGCCTGAAAAATGTGGACAAGATCTTTTTAAATATAAACCTCAAGGACCCAGTGAGTGGTTGAAAAGCCTATTCAGTGCACCAGGTCACACAAAGGCTGTACAACAAATAGTTCAAACCGGAGAGACGTGATGTAAGAATTGTGAAGATAAAACTTCTTTGCAGCAATGTTGAGCCAATCATGAAATGAGTGAAACTGGATTCGCCTGTCAATACACTGATATTTATTGAGAGCCTGAGCGGCCGGAGAGTTCACAGCATATCACAGTTCCCTGCAAGATACCAGCAAACTCTGAAGCCTAAAAGCGCCAAGAACCCATCTATACAGACAAGAAGAGGAGGGCCCTAAAACACGCGGGTTTTCCTTTAATGCATGCCAGATGTCGAGACAAAGACTCGTTGCATTGTAAACCCACATGAGCCAAGCTTCTCCCCCACAAGACATCAGATGACCTCTTGACCTGTGTCTTCCTGAGAAGCTATGGATCACATTACAGGCAGGAATACACTTCAACCATATTAAACAGATTCCCGAGGACAGTTCACTAAACTCTATATACTTTAACAAGACCAAAATATTCCTTTACAGATCCACCCTTTTATCAATTTATGATAATCAATTAACATTAGTCTAAAGAATATTTCAGTCAATACTTAAGTCAATAAGCGTCTTCAGAGTTGTGTGGGCTCACTCACATTAATTACATCAAAAGTAGAACAAGAATGAAAACACTTCAATCACCATGACAAGATACAATCAATCATAATAAAATCATCTCTCTTCAGTGTTTGGCATCATTTGTCAAAAAGCACAATAATAAACACGTGAAATACAACAATATTATAGCAAAATATATGTTTCAAGAATAAGATATTTTATCATTTATCACTCAGTTAATCTCCTTCATCAAACACAAATTCTAAATCAGCTTACATCTCAAAGATTTACTTCAAGGCAATTACTTATTAAAACACAATTAGAATTTAGGATTTATAATAAATCCAATTGAGGTATAAATCAGACTTCAACTATCAATCATTATGTCATCTCAAAATCTGAAGGGAAAACTAAACAATTCTCAAAATGTTTAACAATCTGAAGAATCAAACATTTTATTGTATAACGACCTGAAAAGGAAAAAATCAAAACATCTGTTCTTTATTCAGAGCATCAACTGTAATCAATATCAAAACATCTGTTCTTACCTGGTAATGATTAAGGATAGTAACATTGTCTGTTATAATATTAGAAATATCTTATTGTTCAATACCTTATAAATCTGAAAATATCAATTAATTAATTAGTTTAGTGTGAAAGTGTAATCTGATAAAATATATTTATCACCACTATTTAACACATATCTGTTCATTGGGAATACAAAAACAATCATTAATTGTTAATTGTACATCTGTAATCATCTGGTCATTCAATTCAAATGTTATCTTTGTACGAGAGCTAGAAAAACATGTTTTCCTCCTCTCTTTATGACACAGAATGTCTGGTGTGTAAAGGCATCCTGATACTGTAGATTAGCACTGAGGTGCTGATTGGCTCAAAACTCTTCTTCATCAGAGCGCCATATCTCAATCCCCCCCAATTGCTCTGCTTTTGTGGCTCAATTCAGTGAGCACTTTATGATCTCCCAGTGAAACAGAGGCTCATCTGCCTGTATTCCTTCTGCTATCTGCTTGAGAGCAGTGCACCTGCCTATTCCAAGTGGCACATCCAGATGCCCCCCCCGTGATGGGAGAGGTTATGAAAATATCTGCTCCTCCAATGAAACATGGAAACCTTGTATGAAGCCTCTGAAGCCATCGCTCGTCCTGCGAGCGAAAATGAAGAAGCATCCCATCTCATCAGAAAGTTGAAGATTAGAATCCTCTCATCTCGAACGACCTCCTTGCCCGTGGATAAGTTGCTCTCTGCAGCCGCAGAGTGTGCTTCTCTCTCTGACCCTTCGCCTTCAGAGCTGTTTAACACTTGATAGGGATGTTTTCCTGAGTGCAGACAACTCAAGGTAATGGATTAGCACATTATCATTCAATTACAAAAATAGGATAGGCCCCCTCAAAATTATTTGGGAGCCTTCCTGAGACATGCACATTATAAATGTAAGGTTTGTGTTAGTCATTTAACATGCAAGAATCATATACTCATCAGTCCAAAGCAGAGAAATGTTATTTTAAGTTAAATGTGAGCTAGTCCCTGTGGAATAACCCTTTCTCAATGATTATAAATGTTATATTAATTCACCATTTACCGTTTGATCAAGGATTAGTTTATCAGAAGTACATTTCCTCTTCCATAAAACATAGGTTTGAGAAATGAATGTTCCAATATGAAATCAATTGCTCAATTTCTCAATATAATTTGACTCTTCCCTCCCTTTTCTTACATATTGTCACATATGAAATAATAACTTAGGAGTCTATTTAAGCATGGTATTGTCTATATAAGCTATTAATCGAGAAAACTCAGAGTCAGTATGCAACTCGCAAATATCTCTTCTCCTTCCTATCCCTCTTTACTCACTTTCCCATCTCTTTCTCTCTTATTTCTGTTAGATATGAAGGAAAAAACATACAAGTCCATGTAAGCATCTGAGTTACCAGCGGCACACTGGTGTGCCGTGAGGCAAGTCCGGGTGTGCCGTGGGATTTTGTGACAACCATACATTATTTTTTCAATATACAACTACACAAAAATAATCATTTATTTTTTAATTTACTATATCAGTACTTTGTAGGTTTATGTACGTAATCTGCGCGACTTGCGCGTCCACATCTCCACGTGCAGTGCTGCATAAACATGGCTGAGTCAGCGATAACTATCGAGGGGTGGAGGTCTGCCCATTATTTTTATATCACGCAGTCTATTCTTCTTCTCTGTCTTCCGGTTGTTGCCTGTATTAAATGACACATACACACTACCGCCATGGATTTGATATGAACGAGGCGGCAGTTAGCAGCTAGCGGCTAGCTAGTAATGATCTAGTGATATCGGTAATATTAACTCCATTTAATACAACATTTAAGGTACAAGATTCAATCATACAGCCCATGTAGTATGACAATGAATTACAGCAAACATGTGCAATATATCCATTATTACAGCTCCGTGGGATGGCAGTAAGACGATATGGATCCGTTCCCATTGTGCATCCATGGGTAAAGATAAACGCAACTCACATTGGTTCCTCATACAGCATCTCTGTAAACTACGTGTATTCACTGAATTTCACTCTCTGCCTTTAACGCTCGTTGTAGCTCCAAAAGCTCCAGCCCGAGCCTGGCTCCAGCACCCTCCCTGTGAGCACAGTGTGCTCTGATTGGTCGGGACACGTAACATGAACGTGCCGGGCTATGCGATCCCGTGGATTAGATGCGCGTTCATAATGCAGAGGGAAATAACTCTCAGAATAACGTTATTAGCAAATGTTTTACAACTTGAGGAACGAATGTTTTTTAATAAGGGCTATACAAGTGTTCATACTGGGTAGTTTATTTAGTTAAAAAAATTATCCAACGAGTTACAGACCACTCTTTCCCCATGTAAGTCAATGGGAAAAGTGTTTCCGGTAGGGGTGGGCGGATCGATCCCAAAATATCGATACCTCCGATATTACGTTACGTTTCAAAATATCGATACTAGAGCCAATAGGATCGATACTGTTATACTTTTTTTCTCGTCTCCTCTACTCGTCAATTTCTTCAAAAAACTATGTGCAGACGAACACAAGTATATGCTCTTTTCTTCTCTCTCCACTGCTGTCCTCTTCTCCTCGAGGCTCCGTGCCTGAACGCCGATTATCAAGCTGACTGACCGCAGCCAGCAGGGCAGGACAGCAGCAGCCAGCGACTCGCGAGTGCAACACACACACGCGCATGATGGCTGAGAGAAAGAGCAGCGTTGTGTGGAGCAATTTCACAACTGGCCATTAAAACTTAGCGAACTGTGATGTGTGCAAGAAGACAGTTCGCTACTTTGGCCACTTTGTATTGTTATTTTTCATGTTTGCACTTTAAATTTGCAAAAGTAAAACGTGTATTTGTCTATAAAAACTGTCCTGTCTTTATTCATGAAAATGAATTCAGATTTAGTCTATTTATGATGATTTCAGCTAAAAAATCATGTCATGCAGCTCTCCCCTATATGAAAGTACATAAGACGCTTTTCATTAAAAAAAAGTATCGGTATCGATATCGGTATCGGCGATACTGGCCCTGAAATACTTGGTATCGGATCGAATCCAGATTTTGTGGTATCGCCCACCCCTAGTTTCCGAGCCTGGCAACCAAACCGGAAGTGTAGTACCGCCGTTTGGCCAGCACGAATATTTTCATCTGAGTCCGGTGCACTACCTGGGGGCTTGACTACCGCCGCCTGCTGGTAAGGAAAGTTATTGCCACTCACGCATGCGCAGTTTGTACGTGCTCGGCGAGGAAAGTAACGAGTAAAGTACCGAGTTACTTTATGTAGATAGTAACGAAGTAGTGTAATATATTACATTTTTTTTAAGGTAATACATTTATAATTTGTAGTTCCGGACCATGGACAATGCAGCTTCCTTGCATTGACAGTTGTCTGTGCTGAATTTCTGCTGAGTTTCCTTTGCCTCATTTTCTATTTTGTGACCTGTCTGGTGTAAATGAGTGTGTTGCTGCTTTGATGAAGCCTAATTTGATAAAGTTTCAAATTAATTTCGGAAATATTTCGTAATATAGTTGTCTTTGTCAC